CTGTGATGACGTCAAAGGCGCGATTTTGTCGATCGCGCTTTTGTCGTCCGCGCTTTTGACGGGTCACGGGTCTGAACACCTCTGGTGGAGTTTCCCATTCCATTCTCACACTCATGTCCTTGGTTGTTCTGTTCTGGATTGGCATCTCTGCTTCCTGTCGTCCCTCCTCCCTACATTCCCTTCCTCCCCCCCTCCCACATTTTACGGCAGGGTGCCAGCCGAAGGGAAGCATCCTGAAGTGTTTACGATGGCAGACCTGAGCCAGAGCTTGGATTCCTGTCCTCTTCAGGTAGACATCTGCCATGAAACTTCATCTCTTGCTTTCTCTCCCCAGGGCCCAGATTTTGGCTACGTGACACGGGAGCCTCTCTTTGAGATCGTCACCGGCCTGGACTCCTTTGGGAACTTGGAGGTCAGCCCCCCGGTCTCGGTCCATGGAAAGGAGTATCCTTTGGGCAGGATCCTCATTGGGAGCAGCTTCCCCACGTAAGCAAGAAAAGTTTGTGGAAACTGGGGAATGCAGCTTATTGATTTTTATGTGTATTATTTCGACACGCTCAAAGTTTCCTTCCTTCTCTCATGTCCTTCCTTCCTCTCTCCTTTTTCCTTCCTCCCTACCTCCCTCCCAACCATTCTTCTCTCTTCTCTTCCTTTCTACCTCTCTTCTTCTTCCTTCCTTTCATCCATCCATCTATTCTTCACTCATCTCTCCCTTGCTTTCTCCCTCCCTCCCTCCCTTTTTCCTTCCTCCCTCCCTCCCAACCATTCTTCTCTCTTCTCTTCCTTTCTACCTCTCTCCTTCTTCCTTCCTTTCATCCATCCATCTATTCTTCACTCATCTCTCCCTTTCTCCCTCCCTCCCTCCCTCCCTTTTTCCTTCCTTCCTCCCTCCCTCCCAAACATTCTTCTCTCTTCTCTTCCTTTCTACCTCTCTTCTTCCTCCTTCCTTCCATCCATCTATTCTTCACTCATCTCTCCTTTTCTCCCTCCCTTTTTCCTTCCTTCTTTCCTCCTTCCCTCCCAACCATTCTTCTCTCATCTCTCCCTTTTTACCTTCTTCCCTCCCCTTTTCCTTCCTTCCTTCCTTCCTTTCTTCTTCCCTTCCTTCCTCTACCCCTCCCAACTATTCCTCTCTCATCGCTCCCTTTCTACCTTCTTCCCTCCCTTTTTCCTTCCTTCCTTCTTTCCTCCCTTCCTCCACCCTTCCCAAATATTCTTCTCTCATCTCTACCTTTCTACCTTTCTTCCTCCTTCCTTCCTTCCATCCATCCATTCTTCTCTCATCTTTTCCTTTCTACCTCCCTCCCACCTTTTTGTCAAGGTACTGAGGATTTAATAGCTGCCAGCTGATGAAAGGTTGTAAGCTGTAATCTGCAAGCTGATGTAATGTAATATAAGGCAGATGCAATGAGGCTGGTTCATTGCAGCTATGGTGTAACCCTTTTAGGATTCTGATGGGACAACAATTATTTTCTTCTCCCTCCCTCCTTCATTCCTTCCTTCCATCCATCCATTCTTCTGTCATCTCTCCTTTTCTACCTTCCATCCTTCCTCCTTTTTCCTCCCTTCCTTCTATCCATCCATCCATCCATTCTTCTTTCATCTCTCCCTTTCTGCCTTCCTTCCTTCTAGTTCTGGGGGACGCCGAATGACCAAGGTGGTGCGCAACTTCCTCCAGGCCCAGCGGGTCCAGTCCCCAGTGGAGTTGTATTCAGACTGGCTGACCGTTGGCCACGTGGACGAGTTTGTGAGCTTCGTTCCCGTCCCTGGCAAGAAGGCAAGAATGGCACAAATTTTCCTTTAAAATGTCTTCCTACATTCTCCCAGTTTGGGGCAGCTTTATGGTGCCCTTCTCTGCTGGGCTTTGAAAGCGTGCCAGCACCCCTAGAGATTAGTAGTAGTAGTGGTGGTGGTGGTGGTGGTGGTGGTGGTGGTGGTGGTGGTGGTGATCATCATCTAACCAAAAGCTAACTTGGAACT